TTTTCATGTCTTTCCTCTATTAACTATTAAGTTTAAAATATCTTTAATAATTTTAAAATAAGAAATTATAACTAGGTTTTATATGAATGACATTAATATTTTAAATGTCTCTTCAATGACAGTATATTCTATATGTATACGTGTATGTATATACATGTATATAGAATTAAAGCTCACTATGATCATAGACTATTTTATTCAAACACTACCTAACCTGTTGTCCAAATAATGCCAAACAATTAGTAAGAGTTTTCAACTTCCCTTTGTTTAATTTAATTACCCTACTCTAATGATGGGAAACATAATCTGAAGGTATGGCCTTATTGTTGTTATCCATGACTAGGAATGCAACAACAGATTCCGCGTAGCAGGCTGCTAAGGATTCTTCAATTAAACGATCTCTTTTACATTTGTCTTTTGTGCCCTCAAGAAGGAAATTTTGCTGCATAAATGTATTGATATCCTCGTAGAGAAATATTTTACTGTTGTTCTATCTTAAGCATGTGTTGCATCATTTGTCTAATTGTTATCTCAAGTAAGCATGTCTAATTGATATATGCCATAGCGGATATTTTGCATATTTATTAAGCCGGATAAATTGATGAATCTGAACATTTACATAGACCTTGGGTGCAATCATTTCCACAACTTGGATATGACTATTCCCGAATCTCATTTTCTTAGACTTGATTGATAAGAGGCTTGAAGCTTATGCAAGAAGCTAAGCAGCTTGTCCATAGACTATACTATTCCCTTGTTCTTTCCTTTTATTTGTTTATTTTTGGATAGGCTGGAGATTGGGGCTGGAATGTGTTGTATCTTGATGCGTGCTTTCCCATTTCCTTTCTTGACTCTATTTTAAATTCAGCTGGAGCATTGTGAGCATGCAGATAACCAATACTCTGTTCTATCATTTTGTAGCCGAAGTACTACAGTGGAGATTATGGAAAAATGATTGACATCCTCAATGCCTGCAAACAAACAGGATGCACATTCCTTGTCGGTGGCCGCAATGTAAATGGCATTTTTAAGGTATACCCACATGCTGGAAGGTTCATGATGAATGAAAAACTGGCTGTCATTTTTCATTTATCCTCGATTGCAACTGGTATTATTGCTCTGTATTACCACATGATTTCTCTGCAGGTGCTTGAAGATTTTGACATTCCAGAGGAATTAAAAGACATGTTCGTTTCAATACCGGCAGAAGCTTTTCGCATGGATATATCATCCACGGAGATAAGGAAAAGCCTCGGACTATAAAATCTGATAATGGCCTGCAACATCTCAACCACGGTTCCTTCTCTGCTTACATGGGGCAACAAATAATAAAAGCTTCTTGAATTTTATTTTCCTCGTTTTACCCAAATGTGTAAGAACTTTGTGATAGCCAAATGATGTTTCTTTATAGAAAAAAAACGTAATTTAAGAATATCGTGCCAGGCTCATTAATTAAGAAAAATTTTGATATTAATTTTTTTAACTGGTGTAATATTTTTCTGTTAGCTTTTTTATGTTTTTAAGAGTTTTTCCTTAAGTGTATTCAAATGCAAGTTCTATCCGCACTGGAAATAAGAAGTTCATCCAAAAAATGTTTGTAATCATGTCAAATGTATATTATTTCCGCTAGAATTGAAAGATTTAAGAATAAATCTTCGTAAACTCGTTATAAAAGCATTGAACATTAAATACAATTTACAAATTAATGTTTAACAATGACGAAGAAAGTGCAAGTTAGAATCTGTGATTGTGTTCTTACTTGGAGAATATTTGCATTCTGTTAAGATATTTAATGAGATGAATATGTGCATTTCATGCTTAAGAAAAAGTACCACACAGCATAAGTAATTTAAAGAAAATTGATTATAAAAAGTCACCATCTCTACTAAAAATATCATCTTACCTTCCATGCTGCCCACAGAAGTTTCTTTCAGAAAACAAAGCACCAAGAGAGAGAACAAAGGAAAGAAAGAAAGAAAGAAAGAAAAATTCTGCACCGCATTTTCTAATGTGTCATATAGAAAACTCTATACACTTTTAACCTCCGAGAGACTTCGTAGAAAAAACAAGCGGAGTCACGAGTCACCCGCCGCAGCCTCCGCCGCATCCTGCGCCGCAGCCTGCACAAGTTGAGGCGCCATAAGCATCGTTATGGGCGGAGGCTTTGTCTTTCGACGTACCACCGCCGGCGCAGGAGAATAACACGCCTGTTACAATAGAGAAGCTAACCAGAACTGCCCAGAACAAGAAAATTACGTTGCTTAATCCTTCATCTTCTCTTTCTCCCATCTCCTTCCATTCCCTTACCATTTTCTGTCTCCGTAAAATCCCCAACAAAGCTCCGAAGTACCTTTGACGTTGACCGTTGTGTAAAAACCAAAACAAAAAAAAAAAAGACTTAAACTTGGGTTTGTGTAATGTCTTAAAGTTTCTTCGTATGCAGAAAGATATAAGGCGTTGAGGGGAGAGTAAATGTGACAGATGATGTGGGATTTGATCCGCCGACCCAATTCTCCAATTCTCATGCTTTATCATATTCAAACATCAATGGTTGATATATATTTTTTTTTTTATATTGACTTTATGGAAACCAACCAATCATATGTCTCCACGTACGTGATCCAACTGCTCATATACAATGCTTCAATGGCGAGACACTGTGATTGAGGTATTGCTGCAATGACTCGGACAGCCATAGAGTTCAAATCTTATCCTCGTTTAAATTTTAAAGCCAGCTTTGTTGACCAAAATTGTCAAAATTAGATAAAAAAAAAAAAAAGAAATGGGTTGCACTGTCGACTAGGGCGCCACTGTTATTGCAATTTATCATGGCCGGTAACCGGAAAATTAAATGTAAATAATTAAAATAAAAAAGATACTTATTTTTTACCAAATAAAATAGAAATATATAAATCTTGTAAGATGAAAATATATTAAGATAATATATTAATTCTTTTTTTTTTTATGAATGACCATTATGCATGTAAGCACTCTCCATTTATATTTTGTATTTATTTTTTAATAAATTTATATATTCATTAATTAAATAATACATACATACTAATTAACCATAACATTTTATAAAAATTAAAAAAAAAAACATAACTTTTAAACCATAATATATGCAAAAATACAATTCAACACCAACCCACTATCTTTATAAAAAAAATATTATGTACCCAAGTTGAACTAAAGAGTCAATAGTATATACATATATATATATATATATATATATATATATAATGTACACTTGAGGTAACTAGATTTGCCCATTAGTCTTGGCCCTTCGTGGTAGTTATTGGCCGGTTTTATGGTTTGCTAGTATTTTGTCCCATTCATCAATATCTCAAGATTATATTAAATATTTATTGAGGAAAAATAAAACTTGTTTAGAGTAAATTGAGTTCAAACAATTCGACCATGTTGATAAAAAATATTTAATTAATATCATAATACTTCATTTTAAAAAATAAATAATAATTTACTTATTTTTTAAATTTAAAATTAAAATATTATAAATATAATTACTCGTTATTAAAATATACAACGTTTTAACCTAAATTAATATAAATATAAATATAATATAATATAATAAACATTTAAAAAAAAAAATAGATAGATTTTTCTGTCTATAACTTGAAATTGGATTAGATGATGGGCCAAATTTTAAGGCCCATTTTGATGCCGCTCCACTTACAAATTACAACCAACAAAATATTTGGGCCCCCACTTTAAGTTGTTAGGCTTATCAATTTTGTAATTATATTATTTAAACTAAAATATTTTTAGAATTTGAAAATTAAAAATAAATAAATAAATTTAGGTTAATAATGAATTAAATTCATTTAGAATTGTAAAAAAAATTAATTATTTTATATTACTTTAATATGCTTTTTTAGAAATTATTTTAACTCATAATATTAACTCAAAATAATTATATATAAAAAAAAAAAAAAAAAAGGGAAGAGCGTTAGCGCGGCGCGTACCGACAAGCAAACCTGCGGTGCAGCTATTTGGGGCGGGCATAACGCCTTTTGTCAATATCAGTCAGGATATGGGCCCCACTACAGGAATATAAAGCGTCCGATGATATTCCTGTGCTTCCATATCTATTATTCTTAACATACACCCTCCAATCCTCACCGTACACGTCACATCAGACACCGTTAGTTCGTAAATATATAAAAATAAATAATAATGATATAATAATATTAATAATAAAGTGATCCTTAATGATTTAGGGAGACAAAAGGAGACAGTTAGCAACAAAAAGGGGGGAGAAGGGGGAGGAAAAAGCAGAAGATAACAATGGCGCTTTCAGTTTCTATTTTAGCCGTCATCACTTCTCTTCACCTTCTCGCCTTCGTCCTCGCAATCGGCGCCGAACGAAGACGTAGCACAGTATCTCTCTCTTCTCACTCTCGCTCACTCTCTATCTCTCTGTATCTTTTTCTTCCATTTCTGTTCTCTTTTTTTTTTGAAGTTTGTCAGATGTTAATTTGCTTGAATCTTGAATTGCGGATGTGCGAATAGGCTAAAGTCGTGCCTGATAAGTATGACGACAGAACTTACTGCGTTTACACAACGGACGCGTCGACGGCGTACGGGCTCTCGGCGTTTGGTCTGCTGCTGATCAGTCAAGTTGTGGTCAGCGGCATCACGAGGTGTCTCTGCTTCGGCAGGGGACTCATCAAGGGGAGATCCTCCACTACTTGTTCGATCTTGTTCTTCGTCATCTCCTGGTATAATCTCGCTTTTCTCCTTCACTCTGCTCCGTAATTACTAGTTTTTTATTTAAAAGAAAAAAGAGGCAATCACTACTATTGGATTTACCTATTTGGCGTTTATTTTATTATTTTAAATTACTATTTATTTGTCATTTTTGTCGTACATGATGAATCTACTTCCTTTTCTTTGTATATCATATAGCCGACGAGTTCGGCCAGATAATTGCGCTAGTTTATTTCCATAAACAACTCGTTTTTGGTTTACTGCTACTGTAAATTAACGTGTTTTATCAGTTAAAATGAAAATTTTGCTTGTTTCTTAGTTCTTGTATCAGGTGCGTGACTAAATCTCTTGCCTTAGTTTTGTGTTGGTTGTGAGTAGTAAATTATGTTGATTCATGAAGATTACGAGACTCACTTGATGCAGCTGCTCTGTATATTGTCTATTCAATATGGTTTATTTATCAAAATTTGAGCTTTCTACAAAGTTTTCAAGCTTCTCGTGGACTTTCATTCTGTAAGATTTATGGGATATGTAAGAGTTCCCTTCAAATCGTTTAGTGCATCATATGGGGTTTGATTTATTAGCAACTAGCGAGTTTGGACAAAATCTTGACTAGACAAACCTATGTAGTCTTTAATAAATTGCATATATCTGCATATGTTACATATACTACAACTAATCACACTTTAGTTTCTTCCGGCTAATAAGCTTAATACACTAAGCCTGATTATATTTATATCTCACAGATACCATGAGAATTATCCTATATGCAACCAAACCAGTTTTATTATTTTTTTTCTTGTGTGGTTTTGACGGATTTATGTTTTGGTTTCAGTTCCAAATTGATTTTGGTTTGTAGTTGTACTCGAAATTGACCAGAATCAGGCTAGGGATGATCAGAAATAGCAACTTTCTTGTTTTTTCTCTTGTGGGGTAGTACATCATAGCCAGAAGCTTATTAAAGGTTGTCATGCCAAGCTCTGGCGATATTCTTTTGATGTAAAAAGTATGCTGCGAGTTCTCATCAATGTCTCCCTGACAACCTGGATGGCCAGCCTTGAAATATTGAATATTGCCATTTTTCTTCAAAAGGCCATGATCTCTTTAACTCTAAGATTTATTTAAAAGATGTGTTTCTCGTGCATTGATAACTTGGTTATTGCTAATTAATTATTTGAAAAATTAAGCAGTTATTTGGAAAATTAAACAGTTAAATAAGAATACCCAGCTGCCCTTGGTATTTCTTCAAAATGTTTTCATTCATAAACTGTAAGGTTGCCTTTGGTTGATCTTTCATTACGTTCTTAATTAATATCTACTTCTCATTTCTAACTTCCATGAACATTTTTATACAATTAGAATATAATTTTTTGTGTTGAGTTATGAATCTCCTCCTTGAATTAGAATTTTTTAATGCTGGCAATTTCGTTGCAACATTTTATGGTAGTGGCTGAATTCTCGCAAGAAAGTCTTGGTGGTGGTTGTTAATCCAAACACAAAAGGTCTTTTAATTATGCAAAGCAAAACTAATATGGGAACTAGAACTAAGAAGTTGGTTGTTGCTAATATATTCGATAATTGAACGATGAAATCAGGTTAAGCTTTCTGGCAGCAGAGGCCTGCTTATTGGCAGGATCAGCAAGGAATGCATACCATACCAAGTATCGAGCAGCCTTTGGAGCAGAAAAGCTATCATGCGCCACCCTCCGCAAAGGTATATTCGCTGCCGGAGCAGCCCTAACACTGCTGTCTATGGTAGGTTCTATCGTTTACTACTGGGCTCACTCCAAGGCAGATACTGGAGGATGGGAGAAGCAGCCTAAGGAAGGCATTGGCATGACTGCTTCTGATTTTCCACAGAATCAGCCACCTCCAGCCCGGTAATTTCAGAAAAGCTTAATTAATTATGTCCATACACTAGGTTGATTCCCACATTTTTGAGACTTTGTTCTGGTGGAGATATTTCAGTGGATAAATGTTATCTGATATATTTTAGAAATCAAGTCCAGTAGTTAAAGAAATTGTCATGAGTCACCAGATCAACTATTATGTCTATGTTAATTTGTTTATATATAATTTTGTGTGTGTATATATATTTCTCCTATCCACATGTAACATGCTTTTCAGAGTTTATTTAAAACAAACATTATTTTCAGAGCTTATACAAAAGACTCGAGACGCTGAATTATAACACTTATTATATTTTATTATTTTAAGCGTAAAAATAATTTCTAACAAATTCATAATGACATATTTGTAAGCTGTACAATATCATTATTACATTTATTCATCATAATTACATAATTAGTGCTAATATAAACTGTGATGGCACATACTAAATTAATTATTTAAACAGCATGCTATATATTCAATTGAAAGTTAAGCTGGGGTTTGATATAATTTTATATAATAACTTTACAAAATAATATTTTGTATCCAACAGATTAAGATTTATTAAGTGCACGCATGAATTTAATTAATTAATTAATTAACCAACACTATTGCCAAAGTCATTCCTTTCTTCTTTCTAATGAATTTCTTATATACTAAGACAAGAACATATCCTTCTATATATACAGTGCATGAGAAGAGAATCAATCTTGCTACAGTGATAAAGTCAAAATTGAAATTTAAGGGAGAAAAAAAAAAAAAAGAAAGTGAGAGAAAAAATCATGGCATGTACAGAGGAGTATCTTCATGAATTTCTTGGAGGTGGATATGGTAAGGACACGTAAGTTTTATCTCTAATATATTTTGAATTTATGAAATTATTATTTAAATTTTGAAATTCTACTTCTCGGTAAAAACTTTCATAAATGCATTCTAACTTTTAACCTAATTCTTCTTCTCATGATCGATTCGATTCAACCTCGAGTGTAATTTAATTCTTCAAAGAGTTTGGTAATCAACATAATGATTCTGATTTATTTGCAGTTGCTGATATATGTTTGTGGAGGAACCAAAACATTTCTCTTTCAATGCTAATTGGGTCAACAGTAATTTGGTTTCTTCTTGAAGTTGTGGAATGCTATTTTATCCCCCTTGTTTGCTACGTCCTCATTCTCATGATGATTATGCTCTTCTTATGGTCTAATGGAGCAGGGATATTCAATAGGTAACTACATCTATATATACAGACATATATATATATACACACACACACACATGTACTAAAGAATGAAATGAGAAATTAACCAAACAGAGAATAACCCAATAAGGAGAATACAAGGTGCCTTGATTTAAAATCGATCTGATAGAACACCTTAGAACTACTAATGTGCAAACTAAAGAATTTTGTTGGGCAAAACATACATTTCAGCATGAAGGGTCCTCCTGGTTTTGATGAAATCAAGCTATCTGAATCAACTTGTGAGTACGTTTTCTCAAAGATCAACTGGGTTATGGCTAAATTATATCACAATGCATGCTCAAATGATTTGAAACCTCTCCTTCTAGTATGTATATATACTTTTCCCCTTCATATTTCCGCTACCATAAATATAAAATTTCTCATTGACAACCACAAGAACAATGACTTTTCAGACAACTGCTAGCCTCTGGATTTTCAGTTATGAGCAGTTGTTTCAGCTCCTTGACCTTCATATATATTGGTAAGATCCTACATAGTTCTTAAATCTTCATTCTCTCCTGAAAGTTTCTTGTTTAATCCTAACTGAGCTATGTTTTATGTTTATGGCATAAAGTATTTCTCTGCTTTGGGACACTACCGATAGTCTATATGCGGTACAAAGGAGCAGTAAACTATTTTCTCAGCAAAAGCAACGAAGAGATAGAGAATTGTTTTCAGATGGTCAAATCTAACATTCTTGACAAGATTCCACGAGTAAAAGAGAAATCAATATAACCTTGCAAGGGAATATTTTCGAAGAGAAACAAATATAGAAAAGATATTCAAGAAAAAAAAAAAATTCATCAGTACTATCAGTGTTAATGTCTCAGTAATTATCCTTACACATTAATATTTAAACATATATATACATATATATATGAACTCAGAAAGTCGTGGACTTTGTATACATCTAACTATTAATCATTATGGATGAATTTATTCCATAGCACCTTGCTTTTCTCAGTATCTCTAGATGATGGGAAAGAACTAGCCACGCCTTGTTTAGGGTTAATACATGATGACTAGAAGATAGAGTATTCCTCCTAAAGGAGCATTTATACATATTGTAAGATGCAACCATTTCTGGACAGGAAGCAACAAAAAGTTTCTGAAACTTCAGGGGATCATATCGGTTTTGTCGCCTACAATGACTTGGTTAATAGCACAGCTCATAAAGTAAATGCCTCTGAACCGAAACCGACAGATATGAAATGCAAAACCGATTCACAATCAGCTTAATCGAAAAGATAGAAGTGAACTTGAGGGAACCAAATGCACGGAATTTGAACAATATGAACAAAATATGTGTTGAACTATCTCATTTTTTGGCATTATTTACATAATAAGCAGTCACTCCCTTGAACTCTAAACATAGCACATACATTAATTCAGAATGATTGAAGTAAAATGAAGTGGCACTTGCACTGGCTTGAACTACTGCAGCCAACTTACTTGTCATAGTTTTAGTCACCTCTGCTATGTTACCCATTCATGGAAGGCGTTGTTATGTTACTTGCTCGGCATTTTTGAATCGGAAGTAAATTTCTGCATAAGTTAAATAATCCGGAAATTAATTGGGTAAACACAGAACAATTAATTTGAATGGAGAAAAATTGTAATTGATATGAACCTGATTGATTAATGAGAGTTGCTGGTAATTAATGCTTGTAATTAATGCTACCAGTTGCTTCACTTTGACAAACAAAATCTCCCTTATTTGAACAGTTTAATGCAGGGGAAAACCCTGCTAAGAACGCCTGCAGCGAGGACGATGAGGCAGCTGCTTCAGGCAAGGTTTGGGAATGAAAAAATGGATTTTGCATGTGGGAGAATGGAAACTCCCCACATCCAGAAATCAGAGGCAATCTCGTAGCAGTTGCTAACAGAGAAGGATGGAGATTAGTTGAAAAGCATGCTCCAAGCATTCCCGTGCCAAATCCCAGGCCCATTCCCAATCCCAAACCCTGTCTCAAGGGGACAAATGGAGAAAACTGAGGAAATTGCATGCTTTGAATCCCAGCTGGAGACATATGAAGAAATTGGCATGGTGTTCCTCCGCCCGTGGACAACATCTGATGCACGTAGAGGAACAAAGGATAAGTTTTAAGAAAGAAATACCATTGAACAAAGAACAATTGAAAAAGATATATAGATATATAGAAAGACAGATAAATATATAGATAGATAGATAGATAGATAGAGAGAGATAGAGAGAGAGAGAGAGAGAGAGAGAGAGATTACTTCAACTTGAAGCTTTAAGGCTTTAAGATAGTTTATTGCATCATCAAGCATGGAAGCTCTATCCAACTGCAGTTAGATAAATATTATACTTAGTTGTGTTCAATCAAAGAAATGTCGCCCAAAGAACGTTTGTTTGCCAACAGCATGACTTGCATTGAAATAAAGTCATGCATATACGGAAGTGAGGCGGTCATTCCGTTTTTTTTAGCTAGGAGAGAGCTAAAGTGTGAAAAACATTAAAGAAAATATTTCAAAGTAACAGTTAAATGATAGAGATTATGCCATGAAATTACAGAATAAATAGCTCACAAAAATTGACATATTGTCAAATAAAAAGTGGATGGAAAGCAAAAGCAATGACTAAGTATTCTCTCAAATAGAACTACTTTCGTGTCAATTTTTTTCATTCTTGCAATTGCATTTAAAAGTCTGCCCACTGAATGATCTAACAATTACCTTACGGAATACCACATTAACAAGCATAGCAACTGTTGCAAGACAGAGTATAGTGAATTAAACAAGAAGAAAACAAGGCCATTGTTCAAAAGATTAGGAAGATTAATAAAATTTCATATAATGAATAATCAAAAGTTTTAATCTTGAATATACAGCAACTACAACTCTATCATGTATTATGCGGTTCTATTGATTTGTTCAGTTTAAAGAAGGTAGGGAAAGCCGGAACGGGAGTGCAGCACCAGGGGTTGCGAATTAATCAACTTATTGGACGTACTAAACGTACATTGATATCAATATGTGTGTGTGTATATAACAAAGCCAACATAAGAACATATGTATATGAAGACATGTACTGCATATATGTAGTTACTGGTCACCTTGTTACAGTTGGGTATCAACTCTTGCAAAGCTCTCATCTTGCCCTTGATCCGGTCCCTTCGCCTCTGCCCAAAAACAAAGCCAGGGATAGTCATGATGGAAGGAAAACAGAAAGAAAAGCACAAAAGAAAAAAATTATAAACGAGTGCAAATTGGGCATCTCACCCTCTCTGAGATGTTATGTAATTCAGCTGAGCGTGTTCTTTTAGGCCGCTCATTTAGCCTTCTCTTGGATTCTCTAGACACCTCGTTAGGCTCCTGCCAGGAGGAAAAAAAAAAAAAACAAAAGAAAAACAAATTCAAATCGATTAAACTAAGAGACTGTTAGATGAAGAAAAACTGAAAATGGAGAGAAAGGGAAAACAGAGAAGTTGGTTTTAAACTACTGACTTCGCTACTACATCTTCGATAACCAGTTTCATCAAACCCCCTTTTCCTCCCAGCTGAGTCACCTTCGTTCACTTCACAACCTGAGTCTCTCGCAGGCATATTATCCAACACGTTCTGTGCAGTCGAGTCAAGCTGATAATCAGGTAAACTTCCCCAAACATCTTGAAAGCAGTCTGCCTCCGCACCACAGTAAGTGAAGGAACTAAAGATTTGGGACAATGGGTTGAGCTCAGGTGACGCAGAAACAGGAAAAATAGAACCATCTCCATGGTTGCTTGAAGACCCATCAACTTCATCCCCTGAACTAGCTCTAATCTCACAAAACGGCGCTTGCTGGCTCATGTTTACGAACCCAGAACGGGTTGTGAGCAAAAAAGAGAAAACCAGAAAGGAAGAGGAAGAAAACCAGCAAGTTCTTGCGGTGACCGACCGGGGAATTGGGAATTATTCCTAATTTATGGAAACATCGGGACAAAGAGAAAGACAGTTGGTGAAAATGTGTAGAAAGCGGGAACCAAGAAAATAACGACTTTTGTAATGTTGGGAAATTGTGAGAGCAAGAAAACGACAAATTCATGAGCCTGTCCATCTACGGTGGTGCGTTCAGTTTCTGGGTATTTGAAGATGGAGACTGCGCAATCCATTCACTGCCATAGTTTGGCGATTGATACGTGTCCTTACCAACCTTGACATGGTTCTTGGAGTCTCATGAGGGTTTCTGCGCGGACGCGTGGACAGGGACGGCTCGTGTCGATCTCACATAAGCCAAATCGTAAAGAGAAACTAAACAAGTTGATTGTTCATCTTAATGCCAATCACACCGAAAGCTAATCGCCAATTCATGTGCGTCTCCCAGAACACTTGAAGTTTCGTTGGGACCTTTCTCAGTCGTCGGTCCTGTATATTTTAATGGCGTAAGCTATGTTTTTATTTTCAAGTTGTTGTCTTTCAATATTAATTTTAATAAGAATAAATCAAATTACAAGTTACAATGATTTTTTTTTTATTATTATTTTAATCAGGATTTTGTTTTTTATTTTCAATTTTTTTTTATAAAAAAATATATATTAATTATCACATATTATTAAATTTAACAATAAATCAAATAAATAATCTTCATATTAAAATATTTATACTATTATACAGTTAAAATAATTAAATATAAAATATTATATTATTTTAATAATTAATAACAACATTAATAATTATAATAATAATAACAATAATAAATACAAAAATTATAACAACGTAATTAAATTATAATTTAATTTTTAAAATAAATAAATAAATAAATAAAATATTTTGAAATACAACAGTATTTAAACTGGGCCTTTTAATATTCGTGTAAGTTTATAAACATTTGCATAGGGTTGGCCCGATAATATTTGCTTACGTAATTATGACAATAATATAATTTTATTTTATTTTTTATTTAAATAATTCAATTCAAATAGGTAACTATTTTTTTAAAAAAAAAATTTTGGATAAAATTAGTTAATTAATTATTAAAATAATAAAATAAAATTATTTGACCCGTCAATTTTTGGTATTCTTTATATATATATATATATATATGTATAGATTTGTTAAAAATTAGGATAATAATTAGATAAGTGTTGCATTTAAAAGACAAACTTTATACAATAATTATTAAATATTATCTATTATATTTATTTTTATACAAAAATACGTAATTATACTTTCATATATCACTATCTAACTATTATTTTTATTTATTATGATGAATGTGTGTGTATATATATATATATATATATATGTATATGTTATCTACTTGATTTAAAAAAAAAAAAAAAGCTTAGCATGAACCTTCCTTATCCAAATTTCATTTGTTAATTAATATTATTAAGTATTAATTGTACAATTAAGTACCTTATCCTGTTTTTGAGAAACCATATCTTAACATCTTATATATATATATATATATATATATATATATATATATGTGTGTGTGTGTGTGTGTGTGTGTGTGTGTATATATATATATATATGGGCGTGACCGACGTTAATTTATAGTTAAACCAAAATGAGGGATACGTACATGAATATATCTATAGAGATGGTAATGCAATGGCATATACATAAAGCATTTTGTAGAGTGATAAGAATAGGTGTATATATACATATAACATTATATTTACTGAAATTGAATATTGATTATATATTTGTTTTGAGTTTTTGTGGGTGAAAATGTACAGAAGATACACGTAGCGGTGAACTATGGAGTATACGACGACCAAATGCATTAAGGAAAATTCACATGCTCCATCATATATATATATATATACATATATATATATATACACACACACACACACAGAATTTATTTATAATACATGTATTAATTTCATTAATCAAAATTTAGTTGGCGTTCACTTTTATCGTTTCCAATTTGCTTCTTTGGTGGGTACTAAACAGCTTGTTAATTCTCATATATATATATATAATATAATATATATATATACATATACAGCTTGATAATTACGGAATAGGAAAGTTGAACCGGCAAATCTGGAAAACAAAATAAACAATCCACATCCAAATGGGTAACGGAAACCCTTGTTTAACGGCGTCGTTAAGCTTCGCATGAGAGATGCCATCCAATTCCCAGAAATCTCCACGTCGGTACCACCTAATTATAAGATAACGTTAATTAATTAAATTGTTAATACCTAATTAAATGAGATATACAAACGATTTAATAAATAAATAAATAAATAAATCAGAAATAAAAAAATATGCGGCGCCTAGACCCTGCTTCGTCTTCTATATATAAACTCTGAGGTTTTTTGCTTTCACCTCAATCAACCAAGCAACCCATCCGTCCACACCATCAGCTCCCCTCAGAAAGTCTGCATTTATATTTGCGTTTCACTATATATATACGTATGTTATCTATTTCTGCGTCTATATAAGAATCGGAAATATAAATTGAAGATTTTGTGGCGTCTCCGTTTCTCTCTGATTCTGGTTGTTTGGTTTATTATCATTTTTTCTTGATCTCCTTGTAGCAAATATTGTAATATATATACATATCCATATATATAGTTGCAGAGAAGCATGGCGTCAGACCTTTCTATGATTCTTCCAAGGGTTCTCATCGTCTCCAGACGATGTCTCCGCAAGAACAAGTTCGTAGATTTTGTCGGTTCGCTCTCTCTCTCTCTCTCTCTCTCTCTCTCTCTCTCTCTCCCCTAATACCTTTTTGCAGATACCGAATCCGTGTAGGCCTTTTAATGGCGGTTCTGTATATGTTATATTTTTATGTATATTCATATTCGTCACCCTAGACTGAGGAACGAACATAATTTCACGAGTTTGGGCAAACATGATCCTTTATTTGTATACATATATATTGTATATTATGGGTATGTGTGCACATTTTGTATGTATGAAAAGATTAAGGCATTATATTTTTCTGGGTTTTGACGAAGTGGAGCAATCTCACCTAATTAATGGAGAAACCACAATAAGATTAGACTAAAACAGTACAGAAGAGACTTGCTTAATTTCTTTGTTTTCTGTTTCTCTTGTTATTGCCATGGATGAATGTGTTTCTGACTTTTATATGCGTTTTTCTTTTGTGAAAAATTAACAGTGGAAATGCTTTTGATTTTCATGAGCAGGAGAATATCATCTTGATCTTATTGTGAGGTATGGAGCAGTTCCCGTGATTGTTCCCCGAGTAAGTGGAGTCGACACCCTATTGGAAAGCTTCCAGCCCATCCATGGAGTTCTTCTTTGCGAAGGAGAAGACATAGACCCATCTCTTTATGATGCAGAAGGCTCCGGCTTTTCACCAGAGGAGCTCGAAGAAATCAAGCAACTCCACTCAAGTGATACCGTCATTGACAGAGAAAAAGACACAATTGAGCTCGCACTCGCAAAGCTTTGCCTAGAAAGAAACGTACCTTACTTAGGCATATGCAGAGGGTCCCAAATCCTTAACGTTGCTTGTGGGGGTTCCCTTTACCAAGATGTGGAGAAAGAGCTTTCAAGAACTTGCCCTTCGGAAGGGGAAAGAGTAGTCCACATGGATTATGATAACTATGATGGACATAGGCATGTGGTGAGAGTGGTTAAGGACACACCTTTACATCAATGGTTTAAGGATTCTTTGGAGGAAAATCAAATGGAAATTATGGTAAATAGTTATCATCATCAAGGTGTTAGAAGATTAGCTCAGAGGTTTGTGCCCATGGCATTTGCTCCTGATGGTTTGATTGAAGGGTTTTATGACCCTGATGCTTATGATTCTCAAGAAGGTAAATTCATCATGGGACTCCAATTTCATCCAGAGCGAATGTGCAATTCAGCTTCCAATAGTTTTGATTATCCCGGATGTCCAGCAGCATATCAGGTAGAATGATTCTATTCTTATATTTTTCTTAATTCAATTATACACAACTTATAAGTTAGTACCTCCATTCGGATGTGAGCAAGATTGAGTTTCAAACTTGTAACTAGTTCTACTACATTTACTAGCAAAATTATGCTAATACTATTATGGGTATTTATAGCTATGATTATAGTAATCTATTAGGAACTGCTATAAGCTCTTGAGAGGCATGTTCTGGTAGACAGAATTATAAAGAAGAAAGAGTTGTTTGATTGTTGATGTGCAGGAATTTGTGAAAGCTGTGATTGCTTATAAGAAGAAGCTTAGTTCCTCAACTCAAGTGCCAAAGACTTCGAAGCTTAATCAAGAAATGGAAATGAAGAGGGAAACAATTGTTCGAAGTTTTTCTATTGCAAAAAACATGTACTGTTCGGGGGAGGGAATGACTGCAGGCCATGAATCTGAGCTAGAAGTTGGAGCAGAATTTCTAGAGGTTAGCTAAACAAAATTAATTTCAGGTCCATGTTTCTCAGTTTAAGTCTAAAGGTCCAGTGACAGGTAAAAAAGAGTACTCGATTGCTTTGAAGTTGGGTTGTAAATTCTTTTTTTTGGTGAATCTTCTAGTCACTTGATATCAGTCCCTTCTTTGTTTTATTTTAACGAATCTCTTAATCCCGTGACATGATTTTAACTAGATTTAGAAATGAATTAGGCTTATTATACTTAAAAATGATTGTTAAAAACAAAACAACCATGCTCGTATCGGAGTAGTGTATATGTTTTTAGCTAGAACCATATATGAACTCAGAGAACAAAAACTGAAGTATAGACTCATGTACCAAATTGAAGTGAATTTTGTCCAGACTGCTCAGATTTGGTCAAACTCAGTTTAGAATGACTCGAGAATTTGGTTCAAATTATAGTTGTGATTGGATATACATATGATATATATATATATACTGCAGGCAAATACAGTACTTAGTCTGCAACAAGAGAAGAGGTTGAAGCAAATGGGGGCAACAGTGAGGAATGCTTCTGAGTATATGAAAAGATTGAAGGTGATCGAGGAGAAGGAGAGAACAGCAAGAGCAATAATGGGGAAAATGTCTGTTGCCCAACTCTCTGAACTCTTGTCTTTCTACCACATGATGACTCAGATATGTTCAGAGGCAATAGATAGAAAGCTTCAAAACATATGTGATTAATGGATCAAATTAAACTTCCCCGGTTTCTTCAATCTTGGTCTATGTATATGTTTGTACTTACATGAGGCAACAATGGGCCGGTTGGTTTCTTTTACTTCCTGGTCTTTTGATGCATTGTATTAATCTTGTATAATTTCAGTAATAATTATCTCCTTAGTATCATTCTTTACAATTTTAGATAGTTTTGGTGTTGGTATTTGACAAGTCATGATTTATATCAAATTGTAGAAAAAAGAGTTTTTGGTGAATCTATAGCCCTAGGTAAATTGTTAAGAGAAGAATTGCTTTCTAATACATGATCTACCATATCACTGTTTGGTTCCGAATGTTTTTACGGAAGAATAATAGATTAAGACTAGTCTTCGTGATTGGTTTTTCCGATCACAAGTGGATATTAATCCTACTTAACGAGTGTCAATTGATACAATACCATCAAAATATGAAAGAACTACTTCATAAAATATCAATTACTATAACACTTTGTGATTTCAAATTAATTTTGTATAAAAATAAGTTCGAGACTAGCTCTCATGATTGAGTAGTACCGTGCTAAGAATCTTTACCGAGCTAATATCATATATAGGTCGTGCTCGAGTTTAAAACCGTGCTCTGATTAAGATGTATTTAAGTGTCAAACCATGAGTTGCATTCAATTATATTCCGGTTTAAGGTGTTGAATTATTTAAAACCACCATTTTTTGGTTTCGACCCCAATATGTAAACACTCTTCCTGAAAGATCAAGCAACCCAAATCTACTCGAGATGAGTTTGTTCGCGTGGAGACTATATTTTATTTGCGAAAGAAATGAAGCTCTGTAAATTGAACACTAGTGGAGTGTTAAGCACCAAACCAAACCCCATTGTATGGTGAATACCATCAAATTCAAAATCATATGATCGAGTGTCAAGTAACTTCACACCCACCACAAATCCTTATCATGTAGAAAAATACCATCAAATAATTCAAATCCAAAATCTTCGATGGAAATATACCAACGAAATAGAGGACATTTCAACCAATATATTTTACGAAGTTGACGAAGAAGAATACGCGTCTGCATCCAAAAAAATCAACATCATGGTATATCAATATCAAAATCCATTTGCAACATGACATAAGTAACTTCAAGTCTGCAAGGTATATATATACCGAATTATTAATAAAGTTAAAAGTCTACAAGTCATAAACAAGCAATCAACAATAATAAAGAAAAATAATAGGAAGAAGCCATTAACCTAAACAATCAGTTCTTTTTATCAATACTTCTAACACATCTCCAGATGATCAAGTTATTAAAGAACATTAACAGTTAGCATCGAAGTACACATCTGGGGTAGATCAAACCTGACACTTACACCACCTTCCCTATCAAAATCCTCTTGCATACATAATAGTAAGAAGAAGATTATAAATACGATAGCACGTATCTAAATATTTCATCATCAGGACAGAAAAAAGAGCCTGCTTCTAGTCAAATACTCCAACTTTAAGACAAAGAAGATGGAACTAGCAAGATAAAAGTTGCTTATAATAACAGCAAATGCCGATGCACCTTTTTACCTATTTGGATCAGCTAAGCCTTACAGCAGCTTTTTCAAAGTCTTATCTTTTTTTTCTTGTTCTCTTGAGCCACTTACTGCATATGACCTTCCCTTCCAAACCAAAAAGGTGTTCTTTTTTCCTTCTTTTTGGACTCTTTGTTGTTTTTTTTCCATAATAACTTATAAACTTACCCCACAATTTGTTGCAATCTTCATCTCCAACAAAACCAGGGAATTTTAACAAGTGAGCAGCCAACCAATAAATAACTGCACTTCACTTCAAAATGGTTATCGTCATCATCATAGTATCACCGACGGCATCATCGTCATCATCATAGTATCACCGACGGCAGAAAAACATGAAATCTGGGTGATTGACTTGACGCAATCTTAACCACTTGTCAGCAGCTTGCAAGAGGGAGTTTGATATCTGTCGCTCACATCCACCATTATGCATCCACACAGAACCCTTGAACTTGTATGAAGCAAGGCCAAAAACAGTTAATGAAACCTTAGGAACACCATCCATCTCACTGCGGCAAGTCACTACCGGAGCATGTGCATCTCGTGTGGCTGCAAGTGAAAATCTACATTATACTATGTGACTTGACAACAGCTAAGCATTATTTCCAGCTACCTAGCAATAATAATGCTAATATTCTTCTTGAGAAGACAACGAAAATAACAATAACTACACAAATTAGTACATAATCAAGACAACCAAGCACCAAAGTCCCCCCCCCCCTCCAAACCTAAAGGCAGCCTTCCCTATCAACTCCCCACACACTCCATTATTCGAGAATAATTTGGCTGCAAAATGAAGAAATTGTACTTATATAAAAAATAAATAAACATATACATGGCTAGCCGATGGTAACATGTAGGACTATAGGATATTATCAGGAATTTGTACAAATCTTTCTACCAATCAAAAGAATAAAACAAAAACACACCCACAAATACAAAATTATTACCTCCCACTGGAGTATGAAGTGAATGATACGTTAAAAAGCAAGCATCCAGATCTTTCAATGTTGGTCCTGTTGGTATTCTGTAAATTGGATACCTACACAATCGCGAAGGGAATCATAAGTCATAGATGCATACACATGAAAGAAAAAAAAAGGGAAATGATGCTTATTTGATGATACCAGGCAACAGAAATCCAGCTGGAGGCAAGTAGATCGCAACTTATTAGGGTTTTCAGTTCAGGAAACCGAAAAGCAAGATCCAATATCTGTAACCAGAATAATTTTAGAAGACAACCCAATGGAAGGAGAGAGAAATGAGCCATATGCAGATCTAATCATGACAAATTTGATCAGAAGACTTAAAAGAAAAGTACTAGCCTTGTCAGCTAAAGGTTCCCGACTATAAGGAGGATCCCTCTCAAGATACTCAAATATCAGACGACCTTGAGCATTTAAGGATTCCCCCTCATCACCAGAGAAGTTTTCTTGCAATCCAGCATGCTGGTCTCTCAAAGACATCCTATCCATCCTGAGAGATATTTGTTCCCTTGAGTAACTCATTCCTCTTTCAGGCTCACAATCACTGCTTCCATCACTACTAGAGTCCCTAAAATCACTGTCACTCTCTTCCCCTGGCCGCCTATGATACAAGAGAAGCTCAGTTTTGAGATGCTGAAACAAAAGAATAATATTCTAAACTAGAAAATAATATGACAACCATAATAGAAAAACAATTATAAGAGTGAGGAACACTAACAATTACAAGGGTTATCATAGAACCTATGATATCCCCTTGGCAAGAGCATCATAATCAATGCCAAAAAAATTGAAGTACATCAATGCTGCATTTGGTCAATTTCTAATTCAGTTCCTGGTCAATTCTTAGTTCTAGTTCTTACATTAGTCTTAAGATATATAAATAAAAGTTGAATAATTCAAGGTGGGGGTAAAAGAATGTTCTGCTCATAAATCTTAGAATTATAATAAGGAAATTACTAGAAATTGAATGAAAAATGAATCAAATGCAGCCTAAGCCTCACTCTAATGGTATCAATGAATCTACCTCAGCCAGTTCTAAGAAAACAAAAAGTTAACAGACCAACTTAATATGTGATGTTTGCAGCTTACTTCAATTTAAACACATCAGGTCAGTTTGGTTATGATGAGTAATGGATTTAGCTATTTTAGTGGAAACAACTCAGCAAGAGAAATAATATACTTTTCAAAAAAGCCCCAAAAAAGAACCTTCTCACAAGCAAAATATAGGACTTCAGATATTAAAGGAAGGAAAAAACATGCATTAAAGAAACTATAACCACACCAACACCCCAACCCTTCATCTTTTCCTCCAAAGCATGTTAGGCAAGTGGAGAGCCTTCGAGCAAAAAGAGAATGACATTTATCCTTATTTTCGAGCTCTTGCCCCAACAAATATCAGAAATTTTTGTTATCAGAGGAGTTGACAATATTTTACATGATGCAACTATCATGGAATTTGCTCATCATGCTTTCCATAAAGAAAGTACATCAGTCCATAGACAAAATTTAAATGCCAAGAGCAGTGAAAGAAAAGGAAAATAAAAGAGAATCAATCATCAAAGGAGGGATCCTAAAGAGTGACACTCAGATAACACTATAATAAGAATAAGTAATAAGAATAAGAATGAGATGGGAAAACATTGCTCCTGCCAACCAAAGGAAAAAAAATCTATCTTACAGTACAATGCCATGCCCCAGCAGCCTTAAAGCCACCCAACTCATTTGGAAACCAAGTAAAAATTATTTGAAAATATTAATATTCGTGTAGAAATCATGCACAATATTACTCACTCACCAGAAAACAAACCAAAGATAAAAATAATAATGATTTGGAATTGCTTGATCGGGTCTAGTAAAAACATGTTAAAAATCCAATTAAAACACTGATCAATCACAATGAATTCCTAGGGGAACATCATGATGCAATCTCATAAGCTACTGTGGAGTAAACTCCTTCTCTACTTCAGAGGAGTAGTCATTGACTTCTACCTAGTAGCCAACAACAAAGCGTTAGCCAAAGCATGAAAAGCACACACACCAAACTGCTAAATTCCTTTTGAATTAACAAGATAAACTGGTATACACTATTTTATAACAAACTATGGTACAGTCATATAGTTTGGGTTGATGTCTTCCCATGTTTTAATAAAAACAAGTTACTTAAGATAAACTACAGATCCAAGATTTTGATGTAAACCAGAAGGAATACAATCCCACAAAAGAAGAATAGACGTTATTTGCATAAGAATAATTACTAAATAGCACACTAAATGGACCAAATAAGCCCTGACTAGCCCCTCAAAGAGAAAATTAAGAATCAACAAGGCCAACAAATTTCTACCGTAATAGCAAGTTTACCTTGACTTAAGAGACGACTTCATAGAATGGGTGTCACCATATATTTGAATGCCAGACAAGTATGGGACATAATACTGAACTACGCAATCGCTGTCATTCAAAACTAGTGGCACCCCTGCGCCATAGGCACTCCACTCCTTGAATGACTCCCACAAATCACCCAGCACAAAGTAAGGCTGAAATTCCACATCACATGTCCTCCAACCTCGAATAGTTGTCTGTTCAAACAATGAAAATCCAGCAAAACATGTTAATTAAAAATCATATCAAAATATTAGAAAACCAACTATAATTGAGCTTTTACAACGTAGAACTTTTGCTATTCGAGTAAATTTTTCACTTCTTTAGTCATTAATTAATAAAATAAATTTTTCGCTAGTAAAATAAATTTTTCCTAGGAAAAATTTATTTTATTAATTAATGACTAAAGAAGCTAAGCTAAATTAGTTTTCACGTCCTTCACATCTTTCATTTATTCTTCTCATTTGCGTTTCTACAATATTCACTGTTTGTTTTGAAACTAAAAGAAAAAAAATTTTAAAAAAAGTAGTTGCTTCTGCAAATTCCTTTGAAGCAAATAGAAAAGCTTTGACCTAAATGATCAAAGTGAATCAAAATATAAAAATTCATCGGACCTTCGACAAGTACTGAGCCGGCACCGATGGCGTGATCGACTCCAAAAACCGCTCCAAATTACTCAAAGGCGATACAACTGGTTCATAGACTGGGATGGCAACCGGTTTTGGCTGCTCCTCCGACCTAGTCCTGTTCTCCGGCTCCCGGCTTACCGCAACCTTCGGAGACGAAGATTGGCTCGCCGTTACATCGCTCTGAGCTCTCCGCAGTTGATCACCAGTACGCTGATTCTGGTTTGCCCTCCGAGCCTTCGCCGAATTATAAAACCTATCATCGCCGCGTCCTCGCGTTAACTGCAATCCTGCCCCCAACATCTTTACAGCCGAATGAAAAACCACCCCGAACAAGAAGATGAGGGGAAAAAGACGAGCAAAAGGAAAAAAAAAAAAAAAAGAAGCAGCTACTTTGCTTATATATATATATATATATCTTATATACAAGTACTGTGACAACTATCCAATCGGCTGAGAATAACGTCGATATACGAGAAAAATGAGATTCAGATAAAAGTTAATCCGATCACAGAAACTGGATTAAAAAACCTGCTGCGAGAAAACCCTAAGGGAGATTGAAACCTGCAATGGAGCCTCTGAAGATTGCAGAGGAATCAGGAACGAATCTAAAGGAAATTGCGAGGGCAAAAGGGTAAATATAAGCGAATTTTGGAGGTTGAAAAGAAAATGAAGCAACGTGAGAGAAGGGAAAGGGAAGGGAAGACGTGGGCCAAATCAGACTGAAATAAATGGATGAGTAGAGACGGAAGGGAAATAATTTATTTTTTAAGCTTATTTTATTTTATTTTATTTTTTATTTCAAATTATAATTATATAAATTAAAAAAAAAAAATCGACTGTTGCCGGAGAGTTGGAGGAGTGCGCTTATAATAAACGAGAGTGGCAGAATCAATGGCTAGAGAGTTAAGTGGCGTTGGTCAGGAAGCGAAGAGAGTTCTACGAAGGTGTGATTGGAGGACGAGGTGTTGTTAGGGAATTAAAAGGAGTGATGATCAAGAAGCGATGACGCGTGCCAACGGAGTGTACGACGGGACACGTGGACGGTTGGATTTGAGAGTTGAGGGATGGGAAGCGTGTCTTTTTCTTATCTCAGTCGATTGTCTCGAGGAATTTCGAATTACTAATAAATTGTGTTCCCTCTTTTCTTCACTCGCAGCGGGCGTGAGCGTGGGTAGACGCGCTTCTCAAGTTACAGACACACGCCGTGTGCTCTTGTCTTACAAGTGTCCGTTTTACAACACCTAACATCTTGTAAGACTGATTTTTGAGTTTTAAAAAATATTTATTACATTATTTTTTATATTTTATTTAAATATTAGTTAAATTGTAATGAATAAATTAATTTAACTATAAATATTTTTAATTATATTAGTCACAATATTTAATTATTTTTCAAATATATATTTATCGTCTATAATAAATCAAAACA